TTCGATTACATGACTTGCACCAGTAAATTTTATTCATGGTACAGAAGCCAGGTTACTATAAAGGCTAGGTATGACTATATGTTGACTGTATAGCAAAACATGGATCTTTATCTCGAGCGTTATAACATATATAATTGACCCCCCCCAGTGGCACAGTCTGCGGACTTACAACGCTAGAATCCGGGTTTCGATACCCGTGGTGGGCAGAGCACAGATAGCCCATTGTGTAGCTTTGTGCTTAATTACAAACAAACAAACAATATAATTGAGTCTTCTTATTGTTTATAAAAAATATTTTTTTATAAAACAAAATTTCTGCTGCATGAAAGATGATTAGCTGAACACATAGTGTAAAGGTTATTTTAACTTTTATGATGATTAGCTGAACACATAGTGTAAAGGTTATTTTAACTTTTATGATGATTAGCTGAACACATACTGTAAAGGTTATTTTAACTTTTATGTTGATTAGCTGAACACATAGTGTAAAGGTTATATTAACTTTTATGCCTGTGTTTTTTGTTGTAATTCATTCCGTAATCATTGAAAGAAAATAATATTAGCATAATAAAATATATTTTATGAACAATGTGATTGAAGTGTTAAGAAATCCAATCTAAATAGATAGATATTTAATGTTAAAACTTATACACTCGACTTTTTATTCATTTGTATATTTGGACTTATTACATTCATAACTGTTTAAGCAAAGAACGTCAACTCCAAGTGATGTACCATACTCTTGCGAATTATGTTTAATCCCTATTTTCGGTTACACAGGCCATGAAGATAGATTTTGGGCTATTGTTTCACTACTGCCACCTTCTGGGAGAGATCACTGATTAAAAATAATGGAATAAAATCTCGAATATATTTTTAATAGTAACAAAAATCCATAAGAAGTTTTTCATTAATATAATGATATACGCTGACAGTATTATGAAAATGTAAAGGAATATAGCTTACATTACCATGATGTCTAAAAGTTAACGAAATAGAGAAAAGAATGTTGGTTGGTTTGAATTTTTTTATATAAAAGAAATCTTATTAATATTAAAAAAATCAACATGTAAAAATAAAACATCAACCCATGGTTGATTATTTCAATTGCAGAATTTGTGAATTATAAAATAGGGGAAATACACTCCAATAATGTACATAGTTATTATAAGCATGTCCTTCCGTTAGAAGCTTTTTGTTTCAATCCTGACAGGTTTTTTTTTTTATTATTAGGCAAATACACCTTTTCTGTAGAACATTTGTAAAATCAATTTTAATTTAACAATAATCAACTAAAACCATAACAAAACCTAAACATTTTTTTTAAAGTTGAAATAACTCTTCAGTTAAGCTCACAATTAATAATCTCATCAAACGTTTGTAATTAACCAAAATAAGGAATATCTTAAGACCGTACTGCTGTACAGTCATCCAATAGTATTATAATTCATATTATTTGTATAAGCCTTTACTATCAGGATGGCTTGTATCTTGCAGTATTAATAATTATTACAAAAACCTTGGTGTACACGCAGAATTAATTAAATGTGTGTGTGTTTCATTTTATTTTATTTTTTGTACCTTAACTTGATCTGATGGAACATGTGTGTGTGTTGGAAGGTATGATGAGACAAAGTTTGGAAGGAAAAGCAAACTTAAAAATTTTCCATATAGTAAACTTCCTACTTGGAAAATAAAACACTTGAAACGTCACTTAAGTAATTTGTTATTTAACTGGTAATAACTCAACCATTGTTATTGTTTATAGCTCTGTGAAATTCTTAGACATCACTCCTATATCTGTTACACTGAACGTGTGTAAGACATGCTAATCGCAGGAAAACAAATTTGCCCAAAGATTTGGTGTGGTTCTTGTTAAGCGCAAAGTGCTCTGCTCATCGCGGGTATCGAAACCAGATTTGTTTAGCGTTATGAGCCCTCACATTTACCGCTGAGTCACCAGGGCCGAAAGAACTTGGAAAGTTTAAAAAAATAATCCGAGGAAAAATATTAGTAATTTGATAGTACAATTAATCTGAACAGTTAATAATACAACATAAGCTAATCTAAAATTGACAGAAATTATATTAAAAAATTGTTTTTTGTTTCAAACAAACCCAAAGGAACAAATTAAATGTTTTGATGTCAATGTATTCTAAACTAAATACTTACTAGATCTTTCGTGATTATATATATATCTTTAAAAGTAATAGCTGGTTAGAAAATACACTTCGTGACGTAAAAAGAAGCGAGAAATATAAATTTGAGGGAAGTATGACTTAAGATACTTTTGCTAAAATTAATGAGTTCTAAACTCCACCACATATGAGTCACTATATTTAATCAATGTTTACTACTACTCACACTTCTATTACCGTCAGGCCAATAATCTCTTTCATGGCCTCATAAAGTTGTATACTACGTCGAGAAAAGAACATTTCAACTTAACACGAGCAATGTAAAAGCACCCACCCACACTAGCAGTTAGGAATAGGCGACTGAAACATTGGATAAGTTAAGTAAATATACGTCTTGGTAAATGTAAATTTATTGTATAATACTGTGTACAGAAATAGGACAATGGTACTCCAGTAAAAAATCTATACACTACATCTTCTCTTAAGTTCCATTTTCCAGTGGATCATTTGACACTAAAATATCACACCAAACTTTCTCTATTTTGAATTTACAGTTTAATTTATCGGTTTGATATTTTATATAATTAGATGAACAAAGAAAAATTGGTGTTTTTGTTTGGAAGAGACGAAGAAAACCATGTTATGCGTTACATTTTACGTAATGTTAAAACGTTTAATATTTTATTACTAATTAATGTCTTTGAGTACGGTTTTTGATCTTCAAATATAACCTTTCTCGAGATAAGATCTATAGAAAACAATGTTTCATGCTTGGTTACACCACTTTTACCTGGTCACTAAAACAACCTACATATGTCTTGACTAAAGAGCCGAAAAGTACTAAACCATAGTTTTGCAGACAGGTCTAACAAACGACACTAAGAGGTCTGATGTAATTTTATCATAAGTTTCTTAAATGAATCGTAAAATATCTCCCGAAAAAGATACTCACAGAAGACAACTATATACGAGTATTCCTATGCTTAATGTTAACTATAGCCTAACAAATGCATATCATACTTAAAATACATGACATCTACATATAATTCGATTTTTTTACTTAATGCTCTTATTATATTGCAAAGTCGTTACAATCGAAAATTAATTCCCATGTTCTGACATCAGGCAGGCAGTATAGACTTTTCAGTAATACAGTAGTTCACACACATACTTCTTAAAGTAATTCCTTAATGCACGTAGTAGAGATTGTGGTCAAATTATATCAGGTATCTAACAATGGTCAGATAAACCTACTTTTAGAGTTGAAAAATTAAGAATACCACAGTTTGTTAAGCAGGAATGTAATCATTTCGTGAAAAAAATCAATTTGATAATTCTCTAAAATTAATGAACGGGTGTGGTTAGTTTCTTCCTGATTAGTACTTCTTAATACTTATTGTATTGATAACCAAGTCAATGCGATAACTATTTGTTTCAATATAGTAAATTTTAAGGAATTTTAAACGTTGTATAATATGCTACTTTCCCCATAGTGTCGTGCTGAATTAGGCAGTTGCTGCCCATTTCACCTTTTTATTTTTTTTCTGTTGTTTATTATGAAGACTCTGCCTAAGTCATCTATGAAACAATTAGCTTACATAATTGTTGACATAGAAGATTTATATGTATAATGAAAGCTTTCATTCCAGTTTAACCAACAGTGCATACCCCATGCATCTAATAATAACTTTCTATGTATTTGTCAGCGTATTAAATGAGTAAGTTTGTCATAAATGCAACAATAAAGACTTGACCACGCTCATAATTAAGATTACTCTTTGATATCAAGCCTATAGATTTATTTACATATTTTCCAGGTATAAAACATTAATGTTTATTATGTTCAGTGCACATAATACCAACAGATCCTTAGTAAAAAGAAGACTGTTCAGAGACATGAATTGAAAACCAACATAATCTCAACATTGGCCAGTTCCGGTCAACGTAAATTTACGTTTATATTGTCAACTGTAAAATCAACATTCCTTATTCTGCTTACAATAGGCATACAGGCGGTCTTACAAATGCTGTCTTATTTCGAATTTATTCACTCGACCAAACCGACGCCATGCTTGAACTTGACTGTTTACGTTTACCTCAACGCCATCGTATCGCAGGTAACATACAGCTGAATTGGTAACGATGGCAGCCATGGCTCGCTAAACTGTAAATGTGGCCCTGCTGAAAAAAAATCTTACGACTCACGAAAGCGATGATTTTTTGAAAATCCAGAACTGGTAACACAACCAGAATCATGAAAGGCTTAAAAAACAACAACAAAAACTTAAATACCAACTTAACAAAAGATGGAGTTACTTGAAAACTTTTAGGCATGAAACGTACACTTTTTTAAAGTTAGAAGACAACGTCAGACTGAAGAAGACACACTAATGTGTCGAAAGTAGTTTCTCCAGTATCAAGACTTCTGACCGTTTGTTCCATTTACTGTGGTTTTTTCGCTAGATGCTAGAATAGTAACAACACATCCTTAGCTTCAAATTTTGTTGGTGTTTACAAATAAACGTATTTCACATGAGAATATTACACTTAAATTATAAAACAGGGTAAAATCGGTGTGAGGGGTATTTCATGAGAGAAAGGAATTTCTTACGACACTCCTTATCAATTAACGTACAAATTACTGAATAAAACGTATCCTTCAACTGAAGGATACAAAACTAAAACAAAAGGGACTATCAGGGACGAAGTGTGTGAATTTTCCATCTCGCAGCTTTAGACTAAAGCAGTGAATAATATACTTACACATATAAGCCCTGAAAAAAATGATATATTTGTGAGTAGTACAAAGAAGTTTTGTGCATAACACACTAACAACTTTAACGCTCTGCCTTTCTTGCTTACCTGTGTGTGTTCGTTTATGGATCTTGAGATTTTCACTCCTGGCAAATACTTTTCCGCACCCAGGGAAGGGGCAAGGGAAAGGCTTCTCTCCGGTATGGACCCGTATGTGGTTGACCAGTTTGTACTTGGCCTTGAACGGCCGTCCGTTACGGGAACAGTCCTGCCAGTAACATGCGTGGTTAGAACACTCCGGGCCGCCAACGTGTTCTACTGTGATATGAGTCACTATCTCATGCATGGAAGTAAAAGTTTTGTTACAAGGTTTTTTGGGACTTGGTTGTTCTTGATCTACCCACAGACACGTTAGTTCTTGTTTTATTGGCTGTCGCATGTACCTGAAAAATGCTCCAGGACCGTGAGGACCCATGTTCATGGCACCGTAAGTTCCAGCCAGGTGGTCAGGTCTCGGACCAGCCATTTGGTTGAAAGTGTCTGGACGTCCGTACATGTCCGCCCCAGGTAGAGTAATCCTGACCTGGCCATTCATATGACCTGTGTGATGGGCCGCAGAATACTCTAAACCAGGAAAAAGCACGTGCGTAGAGGAAGGGTCTCCCGTGTGGTGGTGGGACCCGTGCAGCGTCGCCGAGGAGGGCATAAACATCCCATGGTGTGTGGGACCGTTGCTACTGAGGTTGTCATGGGTAGCTAAGCTACCAGCCAAAGTTGGCATGTGTTCTCTACGAAGCAAAAAATCTCGCGCAGCATAGCTGCTGACATGTCCGTGGTGATGGTGATGAGCATGAGAATGAGGTACAGCATAACCGTTGGCCTGAGCCGCAAATTGATGATTTCCCTGCACATGGGCTCCTGCCGGCTCGACAGGCATAGCGTGCGGTGGACTCAGCTTGAGGGCGCCCATGTGGGCTGTGTCCATGAAGGGGTTCAACATGTCCGATCCGCAGTAGTGCTTCTCTGCCGTCGGGTTCAAAGGAAAAGCAGTAGCCACACCATTGAATCCCTGCGTGTGTACGAAGTCTGGGTGAGCTAGAACGTGCGTCCCGACTACGGTTACTAGGCGAAATGCCTGATTTCGTATGGCAAGGCCATGTTTCATAATCGCGCTACTTAAAGCGAAATCATCATGTTCTTGGTTTACCAGCGTTAGGAAAGAACGCTGCACCCTTTGAGACGCGCTACGGGCCCTAGTGATTCGCTTACCCTCAAACTGTCATTTGGTTCCCTACTGCGACTGACAACTGCGGGATTCAGCTTCTTGGCATTGATTGGATAAGCCGAATGTTTTGGGCGGGATTTAAACGACGTTGTAGATCAATAGCTTAGTCCTAAATCATCGCTTGATGCACAGGTAGGCGTGGCTTAAATAGTTGATTGTCAATTACTAGATAAGAGCGTTGTAGTGTGAGAAACGGCAGTTTGGAAACTAAATAATCCCTTTGGAAAGGCTCGAAGCAACTTGTGTTTTAGAGCAAGATTTATGTTACTAGTTTCTCAGAGCCTGTTTATGTTTCTACGTATTCCATCAAACTGTTTAGTGTTTGTTGTTGTTGTTTTTTGTCCAGATTGGTTTTCGAAAGTTAGTATTAATTTACTAGACTTCTTAAAAAGTGTCGTTAACTGGTCCAATACGTGTGTAAACTACATAGCTAAGTACCAACGCACGTCTGCGTATGTTGGATTTAATTTTGTAAAACTAAAAATACATGAAACTCGTTATTAACCCCCTCTCTCTGTATATATATATCATATATTTTAATATATGATACCAGAGAAATACATCTTTTACAGATTATGCAAAATGATACATAGATTTGGCAAACTGGAAACGGTTGATTAATCGTGAATGTTTGTAGAAGCAATTTCTATGATAGTACGAAATTAAACACTTCTCTACATTTTTAGTAATAATAATTACTTTCGATCAGAGCAAGCTATGTACTTAGAGCAAAACTGAAAATCAACCTGGCAATCAGCGTAACAAATTAAATATATTTTTACTTTCTTTTTCTATATTTCACTGTCGTATCTCACATTAAACATTTTTGTGGGTGTCATCTATATGGCTACCTAGCTATAATTTAATTCGGTCATTTGCATATAACTACCAGTTTGTTTTCCTCATGTGTGACAATAATAGTAGAAATACTTTTATAGATCCTCTTATACATTTTGCTGTCTATTATTTCTGAGTTTTTGAAATTTATTTATAGAACATTTTTACACGTATTCTGAAAATTTTCTGTTTCATTATAGGTCTAATAACACACAAACAACTATTCTTATCTACATTCATAAAACTATCCAAAATCTTTCTATAAATACTTTTGTCTTAATAACTCATTTTTGTTGTTTTTCTTAACTTAAAATGTCATCTGCATCATTCAAATGTCTAGTAAATTGAGTAACAACTCTGTATATATCGCAACTCTATCATAATATTTGGTAAGCTTTCGTAAGTACGCATTAAGGCTTTCGTCTTGTTTATTGTATGAAACAGCTTTTCTAACTAGTAACAGTAATATGAACATCTTTTTTGTGTAATTTTAAGTTTAGAAGCTGTTAACGTGAAGTTTCATGTAAAGCATTTTTGCTGTTTAGTTATTCTTATTACATACAGTGGGAAAGTAAGACTTCGGAAGAAACCTTTTTGTGTGAAACAAAAAAGGTGGCATCGGTAACAATGGCTGGGCGATAATGGCAAAGGAAAAAATGACTAGTATTAATACAAAGTGTGAAAAAATGCCCCCCGCCAAAAAATAACAACAATAAAAAACAAAAGATCAAATCCGTGAGTTTACGATATTTAACTTAATAAAAATGTGTTCGCACGTTGCATTTTTTCTGGTTTCATTTCTGTTAGTGCCATTATAGCCCGAGCCGTATTTACTGGTGCCATTACTAGCGCATGACGATTCTTGTAACTTAGTAATTTGTGTAAAAGTAATTATTTTTAAGATATTCATACTTTCAGGAATATTTTTATCAGTTCGTTTTCTGCATGGTAACATGCTGTGATTGAAAATATATAGTACATTAATTTACTGTTCATAATATCACCAGTTAGTTACTTATAGTAAAAAAAAAAAATACTGTGTAGTTTCTATTGTGTACCTGTACACGCATCAACACAAGATACACATCTATTTACATTTGTAAAAGTTCAAGAACTGGATACATAGAAACCACAATATGAGGTCCAGTTGATTATTTGTTAAGGTGTTATGGTCTTCTTATATAATATAAATTTATTGAAGAACCCCAGAATGGTCGAAACCAATACTTCCGTGAAATTATGCATAATACTCGCACAAAAGAAAAAAAATAAAGCTATGTTAGCAAAATAAAAGTATGGCGAGATTATCGTAGGGGGAGGGAAATTCTGTTCACTGTATCATCCCGTCCCACATGTTGCGCACTTGTGAGACTGATGTTATTCACTATACTGGTTAGTACTTTTGTTGTGTGTTAAGGCAGTGAACAGGATTTCTAAAAGGTTTACACAGCTTCTGTCATATAATCCACATCAAGTCAAACCGTTCCTGTTACCGTCCGTTTACACCACTTTTCACTAAACAACTGGCTGAAAGACAGCAGCTCTTCATAATGGTAAACATCTTAGCCACAGCGTTTCTTTATCCTTGTCGTGTTGAGAGCTCTCCACTCTATCACCATGGGTGTGTTCCGAGTTGGAGATGGGGGCGAGAAGGGGTGAGGGGGGGGAGAGTTGGATTATAGAATCATTACGGTTACGAGGTTAAGATAACAATGTTAACGTGTCGTGTTTCCTGCTATTCTGTACCAGAAAAACGTCAAACAAGCGCTGTTTAAACATAATTCATAATCTTTGACAAGCGAGTCAAGTTAATCTCAGGCCCATCGGTGTCAATTTGCCCCTAGAGAAGTGTTTGGAAACAAAAATGTGTATTTGTACTTCGGTATCTATGAATATCTACATGTTTAAAGTTCTTAATTTATTGCATTAAAAGCAGATGCGCATTTAATGTAAATCTACATAGTCGATACAAGATGTGATTCACGTCACAGGAGTTTCTTTCTGGACACACATATATATGCATCCTATATGTTTCACCAAGAACGACATATTAACACCTTCATATCGCCATTTAACACGCTAGTCAGACTCGCTCCAAATTATGAGTGGCATTTCTGTAAATAGTAAACCCAACTACATATTATAGATGGTTAAGCAGAAAACTTTGTCAAAACGTTGTACTTTTGTTGTTAGGTTAAACTTATACTAAAGTTTTCTTTCATTACCCATTCAAGCCGTCTCCAAGCATTATTAGAAATACATTTTTTTCTAACAACAGAATGGTGATGTTTCAGACGTATACCGTTTATCCAACTACGTTAAGATTGTGTAAGCCGAGTGTCTTTATAAGGTTATTACATGAGCTCGTCCCACGGTGAGTCAGCGGTAAGTTTCCGGACTTATAATGCTAAAATCCGGTGTTCGATTCCGAGCGTTGAACAGAGCTCAGATAGTCCATAGTGTAACTTTGCGCTAAACAAAACATAAGCATTAAATATTCCTTTCTTATTCCTTGATAATTGTTAACCTCGAAACACCTCATACGTATTTTGCACTTCACACATTACTTTGGAAATAAAAAATAACAAAATATAGTTAAAGCTCCCTTAACCGAGGCATTTTGTTGTTTCAGAATTTCCGCGCAAAGCTAGAAGAAAGGCTATCTGCGCAAAGCCATCTTTGACTTTGAATTGATGGATTGGAGGGAAGATATCCAGTCAACAGCATCCACCGCCCACTTTTGGGCTACTCTTTTTTTTGACCGAACAGTGGGATTTGACAGTGAAATTTATAGCTCACCCATGATCCCAGAGTTGGGAGCGCAATTTCATGACAACGGGAGGCGAAAAATGGACTCTCGGATTCACAGTTCAGGTACGCATGCCAATAGGCCACACCAGGCCCAAATCATAAAGAAGGCAAATTATTGATAATGATTCACAACAATTCTTAGCAGTATAAGTTTCATCTAAAAAGAATTTATTGTAAAATCTTGACTTTCTTGGCGCACAGTATTTTTAATCAGCGACCGAGGTTTTTTTTCCACACGACTATGCTTTATATATACGGTAATAGTTAGTAATAACCATGGAAATAATAAAACCTTTAGTTTCATTACAATAGTAGTAAGCAAACTCGTTATTAAATCACATAATAACTTCATAAAATATAAAAAACACTTACTAATATAGTTGGGCATGACAATAGCAAATGACATAAAGACTGGGGCGGAGAATGAAAGAGGCCAGATAAACAAAGTTTCAACGAAACAAAATTTTATGACTACAGAGATATCTCAAGTGGCAAGTTTTTCAGTGACTGCAAAGGTACGGATCTTAAAACAATTAATTAAAAGTATATTCATGTCAAGCACTATTAACTATTTACTATATCTGTTTATGTCATACGCTCTAAATCTGCATTCAGGAAATTGGTGTTGTGTTTTCATAGGTTCTAAGTTTATGTGCAGGATAGATTTCATGTATATTCTAATGGACTATATATGTTTATATCAAATACAGTAGGGTTATCGCCTAGAAATTATAAATTGATATTCAGATTGTGTGGTTTCTCGGCGGGTTAGCCGTAGATCTAACGACTTGCAACCCTAAAATCCAGCGTTCGATTCTCTGCGGTGGAAAGAGTGCAAGTAGCCTATGATGTAGTTTTGAGCAAGAACAAATAAACAAACAGACGAAGCGTTATCGTAAGTAATAAGGTGAAATCCAGGATGTTAATGTTATCTTTCATAAATTATGAGTAGTTATTCAGGTTATGAGCATTATTCTCTCACGAATCATTAGTCAACATCCCTGAAAGTGGTGTTATGCTCTTCCAGGTTATAAAGAAATTAGAGTGTAATGGATTTACACGGCTACACAGTACATATTTTTAAACCTTTTGTCGCTTATGTAAAAGCAGAATAGGTTTCTCGTGTGTACTAATGGATTATAAGTCTATATCGAATACGCTTGTAATTATAGATGTTATAATATTTTTGTATCGATATTTTGAACAATGTTTATGTCATCTTTTATGCTATACTTGTT